ATAGATATATGGATAGATAGATATTATATATATTACAACTTATAAAGTTCATCTAGGCCATATCTCTCACTCTCTCTCTGTCTCTGTCTCTCTCTCTCTCTGTCTTTCTTCCCCCAAACTTAAATAGGAGAAAAGTAGATTATATTGCCTTTGAGAAATTGTAATGCTACTTTAATAGCTTCAAACTTCTCACTGAACAAAGGATTTCTTTTTAACAGTAATATTATATTGATGCTTTATGTGACTGCCAGTCATAGAACAGCACAGTTACTGAAGAAGTAAAAATATATGTCACTTAGAAAAGAGTGGAGACTTGCAGGATACATATAGGCAGCAAAACATAATTAATAACTAACTAAGAACAAGCAGAGCAAATTATATCATTAAAGAGAAAAGTAGCTAGGCTAAGTAGGAGGCAAGAACAAAAAATAATAGGTAAACAACCAGCATGCTTCATTGGTAAATTTATAATTTCATGAAAAGACAAAATAGATACCCAGTTTGTTGACTGACCTTTTACAACAGATTCATTGGAGAACTATTAAAAGAGCAATACAGGATGGATGGGTATAGATGGCTTCAGTGTGTATCACTGGTAGGAAATATACACATCAAGCACATCCCAGATCTGTTTGCACATTTGAATATGTATTTATGAATGCATTTGTGTGTGTATGTATACATTTGACTCTGTTCAGATATTAAATCTTGACATAATAGCCATTCAAATAGCTGAGTTATGCAAGAAGTTGGAAATCATATCCACCAAGATCCTACTATTCATGGAGACAAAGAATTGATTCTACAGTTGTTGTCAGTCAATCAATAAGCAGTTATTAAGTGCTAAGTGTGAGATGCTGTGCTAAGCAACAGGGTTACAAAGAAAGGCAAAAACATAGTCCATTCCCTTAAGTCATCTTTATTCTAATGACTGCTACTGTGACATGACTGTAAAATATGTAGATATAAACAATATTTTATTAATTTCTGTAGGAAAGTGTTAAGATGTTTAAAAGTAACAAAAAACAATTTATTAAGTACAATGTTGTATATTTTTTTATTTTTCTATTTTTTATTTTTATCTTTTATTTTTAACATGGGTATTTAAAACTTTGGGTTACAAATTTTCTCCCTTCCTCCCTCCCCACCCACTCTCATCTCAATACAGGTTATAGATGTGTAGTTTTGCAAAACACTTTCATAGTAGTCATGTTGTGAAAAACTATGTATATTTCTCCGATCCTACCACCCATTTATTCTATTCTCTCTTTTGACCCTGTCCCTCCTCAGAAGTTTTTGCTTCTGATTATCCCCTCCCCCAATCTGCCCTCCCCTCTATCAACTCCCTGCTCTTTTGTTCCCTTCCCCCCTTATTTTCCTATAGGGTAAGATAGATTTCCATACCCCATTGTGTATGTTATTCCCTCCTTATGTCAAATCCTATGTGAATAGGATTCACTTATTCCCTCTCACCTTCCTCCATTTCCCCTCCATGGTAAAAGCCTTTTCTTCTCTGTTTCATGTGAGATAACTTACCCCATTCTACTTCTCCCTTTCTCCTTCTCGCAGGATAATCCTCTCTTGCACTTTAATTTTGCTTTCCAGATATCACCCCTTCATCTTCAACTCACCCTGTGCCCTCTATCTATCTATCTATACATACATATAATTTTTATTCCCTCCCACTACCTTAATACTGACAAAGGACTCATGAGTTACAAATACCATCTTTCCCTGCAGGAATGTAAACAGTTCAACCTCAATAAGCCTTCTATGATTTCTCTTTCCTGTTTACCTCTTCCACGTTTCACTTGAGTCTTATATTTGAAAGTCAAATTTCATATTCAGCTATGGTCTTTTCCTCAGGAATGCTTGAAAGTCCCCTATTTCATTGAATGACCATTTTTTACCCTGAAGGACTATACTCAATTTTGCTGGGTAGGTGATTCTAGGTTGTAGTCCTATCTCCTTTGCCCTCCAGAATAACATACTCTATGCCCTCCAGTCCCTTAATGTAGAAGCTACTAAATCTTGATTGTGTTTCCACAATACTTGAATTGTTTCTTTCTGGCTGCTTGTGATATTTTCTCCTTGACCTGGGAATTCTGGAATTTGGCTACAATATTTCTAGGAATTTTCCTTTGGGGAACTCTTTCAGGAGGTGATCAGTGGATTCTTTCGATTTCTATTTTGCCCTCTGGTTCTAAAAAATCAGGGCAGTTTTCCTTGATAATTTCTTGAAAGATGATGTCTATGCTCTTTTTTTGATCATGGCTTTCAGACAGACTAATAATTTTTAAGTTCTCTCTCCTAGATCTATCTTCCAGGTCAGTTGTTTTTCCAATGAGATATTTCACATTCTCTTCTCTTTTTTCATTCTTTTGGATTAGTTTTACAGTGCCTTGATTTCTCAGATAGTCACTAGCTTCCAATTGCTCCATTTTAATTTTTAAGGAAGTATTTTATTCAGTAATCTTTTGAAATTCCTTTTCCATTTGGCCAATTTTGCTTTTTAGGGAATTCTTCTACTCATCGGCTTTTTGGACCTCTTTTACCATTTGGGTTAGGCTATTTTTTAAGGTGTTGTTTTCTTCAGTATCTTTTTTTGGGTCTCCTTCAGCATTACTCTCAGTTTTTCCTCTACTTCTCTTACTTGCTTCTCAAAATCCTTTTTGAGTTCTTCCATGGCCTAGGACCAATTCATATTTTTCTTGGAGACTTTGCATGTAGGAGATTTGACTTTGTTGTCTTTTTCTGGTTGTATGTTTTGATCTTCTTTGTCACCAAAGTAAGATAATATAGTCTGACTCTTTTAGCACTGCTTGTTCATGACCCCAGCCAATTACTTGAGTTATAAAGATTTTTGTTAAGGTAGGGGTCTATTTCCACTGTGGAGAATGTACTGTCCCAAGCTTCAGGGGTTTTGTGCAGCTGTTTTCAGAAATACTTCTATGGACCTGTAAATTTTCAGTTCTTCCAAGGTGCTATGATCAAGGGCAAAGTGTTTACTCCTTTCCTGTCTTGTTCTCTGGTCTATGAGTGACCACAAGCACTCTTTTCTGTCTCAGGAACTGTGAGGAGGATTTCCTCTCCACAGCCACTACAAGCTCCACCATGCACCAGAGTTCCTTCTAACCCAGGACCACCACCCAGAACTGTGACCCAGATCCAAGCACAGGCAAATCAAGAGAACCCTGCACCAGCAGAGAGATCCCTGCATCCCCCTCTGATCAGCAACTCACTTCCCCTCAGTCTGTGGGCTGGAAGCTCAGGAGGTAGCCACCTTGCCGAGGCTGAGGTCTGGGGAACGGGGCTAGGACCCTTTGCTTCTCTCTCACTGCAGAAACAGACTTTTCTCAATGATCATCTAAGTTATCTTTAGCGTTCATGGGTTAAGAAGTCTGGAAACCACTACAGCTGCTTAGGATTCCATCCTCTGAGGCCTGCTCCATGTTTGCTGTGGCCTGTATGCCCACACTGAACTGCTTTCCTCTCCCATCCTGGTGCGATATACCTTTCCAATCAACCATCTAGGTTGTCTTGGGCTGGAAATTTGTTTCACTTTGTCTTTTTGTGGGTTCTGCTTATGTTGTATGTTTTTAAAAGATAATTACTACAGTTGGATCCTTTTTTTTGGTTTCTAACATAAAACAGAAGAGGTTCAATTTATTCATCATTCAACAAACATATATCCCTACCTAAAGAACAATGGAACTCAAAATAACATGACACCAAATGACGTGCAAAATGCTATGAGATTTTTAAAGAAGGAGGTATCACTCTGATGTGGGTGATCATGTTCAATATGGTATATTCTCAATCATTTAAAACATTTTATCATTTTTAATAAGCAATAATTAATTTTCTTTATCTCTCACTATCCAAGCCATTGGAAAGTAAAAAAAGTGGAAAGCAAAATCCTTGAAAAATATGTGTATTCATTCAAAACAAAATCTTATATTGGTCATTTCATTCACATATCTCTCTCTTTCTCTTTATCTCTATAGTTCTTTCTATGCTTTATTTATGTATTGTGCAGCTGCATATGAATGCATGTATTGTATATACTTATGCTTGTGTATGTGATGTGTATATATCTATGTCTATGTCTGTTCCTGTATCTATGTCTATGTCCTTATATTTATATGATTACATATCTGATTATTTATTTTGGGTCTATCACCTCTAAATTATTTAGCCATTCCCAATTGATGATATCTCCTTAGTTTTCAAATTTTTTGCTACAATGAAAAATACAACTTTAAATATTTTTGTACATGTGAGGCTTTTCTCTTATTTTGTGATCTCTTTGGGATATATATAAAATAGTTCCTAATATATCTTGGGGATGAGACCCTTATCAGGAAAACTTGTTAGAAAGATATTCCTCATGTATCTGTTTCCCAAATAATCTTAGCTATGTTGTTTTTGTTTGTGTAGTCTGATTTTGGTACTGTTTGGAAAACTTTGATTACATACAATTTTAAATTTGAAGTATGTAATTTTAAAGTCCGCCCCCCAACACACACATTATTTCCCTTGAGATTCTTGGTCTTTTCTTCCTTTATTGACTAAAGTGAGAGGGAATGATAAGAGATAAAGTATGTTTAGGGAGGGATTAGTAACGTGCAAAAGAAAATCTAAAGTCATAGAGGTGATCTTTTTTTTTGTTGTTGTTTGTTTATTTTGGCTTTTGAGTTGAATTAAATTCACCTATCTTTATTATGTCATTGTATCACCAATACTATCTCTATTTGATCTCTATATATGTATATTCTTTTTACAATGTCTACACAGTTTTTACAATCAGCTGTAGCAGAATATGGATCTTTATTTTCTGGACAACCTGCTACTGGATGATGTCCCAGAAAGTTGATGATATCCAGTAATCACCAGAGTGAAGCATCTGGACATTCCCAATATCTGCACAGTGGGAGAAGAGGTCCTGAGAGAAAACAATTTGAGGGAGTGAGATGTTGGTTGTTTCTGGGCTGCAACTGTCAGTTCTTCCCCTGGGACTGTTGAGAAGATTTGACCAGGGAGGGATGGAGGCCTTTTATCCTGAAGACAGCCATGATGGGCCCATCAGGTAAAAACTTGATAATGTTCCAGGCTTCAAAACTAGTAATTACCTGCATCGTGGTGGTGTTGAACTGCAATATTTCATCTCCTGGCTGGACTGCATCACCTTGTTCTGAAGCTACCCTTTTGAAAATTCTGTTAACTGATATGTGTTTATCTCCATGAATTGAACCTTTTCCTCCTTCCAGATTGAATCCTAAACTGGCAGATGTCTTTTTGACAGTTACAGTACAGATGGTAACTTCAGTTGTTGATTCTGTGGAAACCTCACTGACTGCTGAAGATGCAGACTCAATGGAAAAATGCAGCTCTTTCTCACCTTCCTGCATTTTCCTCATAATGACATCGGCCTGCTTTGCATCTTGAGCTTGCCAGATGATGGCCAAGCCTTCATTATGTGTGGAGCCTTTAAGAGATTTCCTATTAATGGAAAGGATCTCATCTCCTTTCTGTATTGCCCCTTCTTGAAAGGCTAGTCCATTAGGAAATACTCAGTGAACTGTGATTGCCTTGTTTTCTAGATCAACTCCTCTTGCTAAACTGAATCCAAGGCCAGCCTCTTCTTCCTTATGCAAAATGGCAACATAAATGCTGTCAAATTGCTTTAATTTTGCTTTGTCTAGAGCTTTCACTTCCTCTATAAGCTTCCTTAATTCTTCCTGAGTAAGTAGAGAGATGACAGATTGGCCAGATCCACTTGTAGACTGAGGAGAGTTGCTACCCTCCTCTGCCTCCTCATTCACTGTCAGACTCTCAGAAAAGTCTTTCAGTTCAGAAAGGTTCATTAAAAACCCCATGTCCATAGAAGCATTTTCATTTAAAAGACTGACAACCCTCTTATCTTCCACAGATGTTGGAGTAGATCTTTCCCAAGGGTTCCATGGACTATGTCCACAGGAGACTGGAGATGGAGGAAGGCAGAGGAAAGATTCCATTAAAGCTGATGACACCTGGCTGCTGATGCAGTAGAGCTTGCTAGATTTCTCCTCTGTCACCTTCATCTCACAAGCCTGCTGCATGGATAGGGGGAAGCTCTGAGCTCTCTGGATTACAGCATTATTCACAAGGAGGCACTGTGACTCAGTGATATTTGCCTGGAGCAGACTCAGGAGATCACTGTCAGTGTTGTGGCTTTCCTGAGGGCTGGATGGACATGTTGGCGGGGGTGAATCAGATGAATCTGAGTCTTTGGGAACTGAAATAGCATATGAGTCCAGGGGCAGAGGGGTCTTTGCAAAAGCCTGCTGCTCAGTAGTATGGTGGGTACCTGGAGAGAAGAGACCAGTGGTGAATTCTGCATCTTGTTTACCAGATTTTTCTCTCTCTGAGAGGGAAAGCTTGGAAACCAGCCTCTGGTTTCCTTTCTCTGGGGGATGAGAAGTACTGAACATCTCAAAAGAACTGATCCTTTGTTTGATTGATGAAGCTCTGCCTGAGAACAGAGAGCACTCCTTCAAAGTGGGAATGGGTTGGGCAGGAGTGCTTTGATTTGATAGTGTTTTGGGGTCTGTTGTTCCAGATTGGTTCTGCAGTCCTTTCAAACTCTAAAGAAACCAAGCTGGTTTGGGGGTTACCTAGAGGACCTTTCTTCACATTGCCATTTTCTTCAGCTTTGTAGCCTTTGGAAATGTCAACTGCAGCTTCAAGCTTCTGTAACATCCCATCAAAGAGGCCACATTTGCAGTTTTCTTCATTGGAACTGACGTTAGACTTGAGATCTAAGTGACCTTGGTCTTCACTCATGGTGAGGCAAAATAAATTTTTGATGCAATCTGAAATTTGGACCCAAGGATCTTCCCACAGTAGTGGCAAAGCTGTAATCTACCCATGCTTGTCTTCTAAGTAAAGGATGCTTCACTAGTGAGATGGCACTTTTCCTGGATACATTTGCTTGCTCTGATTCTGCTGTAGTTGAGGCAAGAGACTCAGCACCCTCCACTTGAACTGAAACTCTTGATTCTGAAAGAGATGGGACTTCACCCAGAGTTGTAACAGTTTTCTTTCCCCGTAGCTGCAGGTTTCCCACTTCCCAAGTTTGGAGGCTAGTTTCATTACCTTAAGCAGGATGTACTGAACCTGGATGATGTTTCCAGGCAAAGGTTGCCCTAGGGCCCAAGGACATTGCCAGGGGGGCCCATGCTGTAGCTGCTGTCCCTCCCCCTGCCTTCCTTTCCAAGGTGGGGGAGGGTAAAATCAAAGGTGAGGGACAAAGTGTGAAACTCTCATCTCCTATGAGAGGCATTAACCGATACTCTCTTGACTCAAGCGAAGGGAGTGGGAGAAAAGAGTGACCAGAGTTGTAAGCTCCTTAGTGATCAGTCACAAAACCTCCAAAACTATCTGCTAAGATATTTTTAACTGTTCTAACTTTCCGCTGTAACCTCCATGAAGGAGAATTCAGGGGTGTAGAGGGAAGGGAGTAAGTAAGCCTCAGGGAACCAAAAAGCAGCTGCAGTTTTCCGTAATTCTCTTCTGCTGAGAGAACTGACAGAATTGGGCATACCCTTCCTGATAGGGCATTCGACCTTGTCCTTTATGCTACCCAGGTCCATGACCTTGAACCGAACCAGTAGACAGAGAGCCTGAGGGCGTCAGGCCAAGTTCGAGACAGAGGCGCCTCTTAACTGTCTGCCCAAAAAGCACCTTCAAGCCTTGGTGCTTGGAGAACAACCCCAACTGCAGAGCAAGAATGGAGGAGGGGAGGCTTCCAAGTCTTGGCTAGAGAAGAACTTGGGGTTAGGCAGTTTTCTCATAAGGGTCACCAAAATGATGAGGTTTAGAGGTTCAGGGGTGCTGGGACCCCAATATCACAACACAGGGGTCAAGTCCAAAAGAAATCAACCCAAGCCTTCTTTCAACCAAAGACAAGATTTGTTAGAACATCCATCATATTAGGCAGACTCTTAAGGAGTCTGAATGTTAGTGAGCTATTGGCTAGATTTTAAGAATCTAAGCAGTGGCTTGATTATAAGAATCAGAGCTCATAGAGGTGAACTTGTAGAGAGCTATAAAAAACAATGAAAGGGTAAACATTCTTTAAACATTGACTTCCTTTCTTCTAGAAATTCAAATTTAATTTGTAATGAAACTTTTATTTGAGATTTTACTCGCAAGTGCTTTTTGAAGTTATTTTCCTCTTCTGGTTTTTTGACTTGGACATCTCTTTAATCCTAATAATTCTTTATTATTTTTGTTTGTTTTATTTAATCATTTCCCCCATCTTTCTCCCCAGACTTTGAGGAGTTTAAGACTTTTGGGACTTTGAAACTACTCGCATGACTGTGGTGGTCTTCTACAAGCCTGTTCTATCTTATCTTCTGTTGTTCCTCTAAGTTCTTTGAGCATTTACTGCTGTGTTCTTTAAGTATCACAGGGATGATTTAAGCCAAGGAGCTGTAGACATTTTTACAGGCCTTACATAATCTGATAATGGTCATTCCTAATTACAATTCTTCTGAACTTTCAAATCTCCAGATGCCAGTTAATTTCTAGGCAACATAGCAGCAGACTTGTCCTTGGATGGTGCTCCATTAGACAGAATTTGACCCCACTGTTTATCAACTAGATGAAAGGCTTAGGAAGTTGATATGCTGCTTGTCTAGCCTTATTTTGGGATTGAAGATAACTCTTTAAGTGCTTCTAAAAGTTTTAACAGTGTAGTTATATTGTATTCTAGATAACTGATTGGATCTATATTTGAGTGCATGATCTGCTATTAGCAAACTCTCAAAAAGCTGCTAGTTTAGAGCCTTTGGGGCAGCAAGGGCTTAGACACTGAGCAACTGACTGTTCAGTGCACCAGGGACTGACATGTCAGTCACCCTGCAGGATCCTATACTACTGATCTGAATGAAAATCTAAATATATGACCATCTCTGTGAACGTCTAGGCTTCTAGCCCTGCCATATTTAGAAACATTGAGAATATGTCCTTAATTCCCCACTGTGAGTCCTAGCACTGTTGCTGAAGCCCAAGCATGATCTACTCTGGGTGACCCTACACAGATGCCATTTTGGAATCCTTGAAACTGAGTCCATATTCCCAATCTTTATGAGAAACTCCCATATTCCTGGCTTGGGCTGCAGGGAGAGTATGGTGTTCTATTCCATTGAACCTATTCTGCTCATTTCCCTTTGGACTGAAGTTGCGATTTGGTTCTGGAAAGATGTTCCACCCACTTGGTAGTCTTCTTAAACCTTTATTGGAGGAGTCATGGGAGTTGGGCTGCATTGTTTCTTTGTGTTCTGTCTTCTTGGCTGATTCTCTCTCTCTCTCTCTCTCTCTCTCTCTCTCTCTCTCTGTGTGTCTCCATACATACATACATACAATATAATATAATACAATGCAATAATTCCATAAATCATTCTTAGTCAATATCATTTCTTAATGTGCATATATTTCTGTCTGCTTTTAGTTAAGATATTTAAGAGATACTTAGAGCATTCATATTCTTAAAAATGCAGAAAGCTATATTTTTAATATATAATTTAGTCCTCTTGAATCATAGATTTGGAGCTGGATTTAACGTACTCCAAAACTTCCATTTTAGAGACAAGGAATCTGAGGCCTTTGGAAATTGATAGGCTTTCCCTTAAAGAAATTTTTGTTGTTGTTTAGTTGTTTCAGTTGTCTGACTCTTCATAACCTATTTTTGGGGATTTTCATGGTAGAGATACTGGAGTAGTTTGCCATTTCCTTCTCCAGGTCATTTTACAAATGAGGAAAATGAAGCAAATAAAGTTAAGTGACTTGCCCAAGATGACACAGCAAGTACGTGTCTGAGCCCAAATTTGAACTCAGATTTTCTTGACTCCAAGCCCAGCACTCCATCCACTGTACCATTTAACTGCCTTTTGAAATAATGAGTGTCAAGAAATAGTAATCCAGGATTAAAATCCAACTTTTCAGACTTGTAGTCCAATAAGTGCTTTTTCCCATGTACCAAGTACTTACCCCCATATACCAAATAGTCCCCATCATTCAGTCTATAAAATTGTTGGCAAATAGAAAAGTAGACATTAAACTTGTATTTAATGTTTCTGGAGAACTTTAGAAGTCATGAATTCCTTAATAATACAAAATAAACACAGGAGGACCATTTAAATAATTGGTCAGTAGTAAAGCAATGTATGAAAAGCTGTGTGAACTTTTAGGGCCATTAACACATTATTCAGTTACTGTTTCAGTAGCCTAAAAGACAAAAGAGAAGAGAAATTCCAATTGGTTACCAACGTTAAATCCTGCTATAGTGGAATGTGCATGTCCCTACCATGGTTTGGTCTCAGGTTTGATTGTTTCAAAACTCATTAGCCTAGGTGTTAGGTTGTGGATTGGGACAGGAAGTATAATGCAAACTAGTCACTTCTTCTCCTTCTTAGAAATTCCTCTGGAAGGCTTGGTTGGGGAGGAGTTTAGAACCCAGAGATGAAATGAATGTTTATCTACCTTTGAGGTCCATTTACAGTACTATTACAGTTCCCTGAAACTCTGTGTAGGTCATGTATTCACAGTTAGATGATTTTCCCATAGAAGAATAAAGATACATTAAAAATAAATCATACAGTAGACAGCATGTCTGTTAGTCAAATAAGAATGAAAGGCATTTTGGAAAATCCCTGATAATCTAAAGTTGTGGTGACAGATTTCAGGGAGCAATAATTCTAATCCTGCTGCCTACTTTAGAGACTATGCAATAGCAAACAGTGGCAAGAAGGGGAAAAAAAAGTGGAAATGAGGATAAAGTCCTGATAACAATTTGTTTAATTTAAAACCCAACATCTGGAGGATAAGCAAGAAAAAAAAATAGAGAAGGGAGGAGTAGGGGAATCCACTAAGGAATATGAACCAAAATTATTGAGAAAAATAATTTTTTCAATAAATGGTAATGAAGAAGGAACATAAGAATACAAGAAGGATCTCTATCTCCTTATATTTCTAACACAGCTGAGAGAAAAAAAGCAGGATTGACATGGGCCAAATTCTCTCTAAAACTAATAAAATAGCTGTGACAAGAATTAGCGTTTGTTTGTTTTTCTTTACCTAGAGCTCCATATAATTTCTATAGAAAATAATGTGGTGTTGAATTCTGTGTGCCAGCATTTATAATTCCCAAATTAGCAGCACGTCTTACACATAGCAATGGAAAGGTTCAAAAGTGTTGAGCTGTTCTTTCCCATAGAAATGAGACTCACAACATCAGTACTGAAATTGCTCATTAAACTGAATAAAAACATACTTATTTTCAAAAACCAACCAAACAAACAGAAAACATCAGTGCTTTGAATAGCTGCCAAAGGAAATCAATCATCTAAAATATTTGAATTATTTATATTGAGTATATAATATATACATAAAGATATATACATTATATATGGGTGTGTGTGTGTGTGTACACACACATGTGTGTTTGAAAGTGTTCTAACATATTGAGAGAGAACTGTCCTCAAATCTTCCTTGGAGTTGAAAAAGTTAGATCAATTTATTACCATTTTAAGGATATTTCACTCTATCTTCAAATGTAAATATCAGTGACATTATTTTCAAGGTAATAAAATATTAATTATATAATTTTTTACAAAGAACTTTCTTTTTTGCTTTATGTTTCCTTCTTGATTGGTGAGGTAAGCTCATGTCATCCACAATTAATAGGCAGTCTCAGAAGCATCAGACCATACTATGCTTTCCACCACATATAGCTATGAACCACAGCCAGCCTGCTACCTTCTTGCCACCATTCCCCAACCACATACAACTCTTTCCACCCTCTTGTACTTGACTCAGTAATTAAACCAAAACTACTATTGCTTATGCAGTTTCAGACACTACCTTGTCAGGTAACAGTAACTACTGTCTCTACCACTAAAATATAAGCTCATTGAGGATAGAGATTAGCTCAGTTTTTCATTTCTATCCTTAATCCTTAGCAGTTTCTGACAAACAGTAAGGATATAATCAATGCTACTGTTGTTGCTATTGCTTTTCTACCAATTAATATTCCAATATTTTGAACCAAAAATCAATTTTTAACCATTTTAAAACATTCAGGTTTCACACAAATCAGTCAAGATGTCAAAGAATAATTATTTTCAGTAACCATGAACAGCATAAATCCCAAAACAAAATTCTTGCAAACTGGCTCTATATTCCAACTCACTTGATCATTCTTTGTTATATTTTGGTTGTGTTTTTTAACATCATAAAATTTAAAATAGATTTCATGTTACTTAATGCCATGGTCTAAGACATAAAGTGAACACTGCATTAATCATCTCACTCAGGAAAGACATTGACAGAAGAAAACATTCTTATCCATGTCGGACAATGAATGCCTTCTCCCAGTGATGAGGCAGTTAAGGTCATGTCACTGAAGTAAAATGCTGATTGTAGGACAGTGGAAATAGTTTGATTGAGAAAACAAGCCTCTGGGTGTGTCATTCTGTGATGAAATTGAACACTGTTATTCTGGATCTGTTTCTTATTACCTAGAAATGAGGAACTGGTCACTGGATGAAAATTATAAGGAAAAATATGATTCCCACCTAGAGTTTTATGATAGAGAAGCTGTTAAGTTGTTCTTAGTTTAATAAAATAATAAACAGTTTTGGAGAATAGGTTTAGGAGTTGAGAGTAAAAAAAAGGCAGGATCCAATAGCCTAAAATAAAAGTCAGCCCAGTATGAAAGGGAAATTTTCAGTAATTAAAATTAACAACACAGAAGGAAATAATTTTGGTGAGGAGGGGAAAATGTAGTAAGAGAATGATGTGGATGTGCAGATAATTCTCAGGAAAATTAGATGTAAAAATATGTAGAGAAAATTGAATCAAAGACAGGTAATAAGATAACTACAAATCATGGCAAAGGACTGAAAGGATAGGGTTGGGAGTGCTGAACTTGAGAATGAGTTAAGGCTGGCAAGAAGAATTTTTGGTCTCAGTAGAAGTACACTGGAGTGGATTCATAGTAGTATTTATTTAGATTTAGAAATGACTTCAGAGGCTATGTAGTTCAACCTACTTAAGGAGAAAACTTAGGCCAAGAGAGAAGAAGTGGCTTCCTCAAGGTCACACAAATAGTAAATATCTTAAGTGGTATTTGAACTCAGGTACTCTGACTCTAGAACCAGTTCATTTTTATCTAATTACATGTACTGTCTTTATAAAGTTAATCCTTTTACCACCAATGAATCTAGTGTCCTTTATCCAATTTCGTAGTTTTGACAGCCTAAATCAAACGATTTTGTCCACTATTATGTCCACTCACAACTGGTGACATGAGGTCAGGAGTGATCTCTATTCACAACTGGTAAGATGTGTTGAACTATGTTTATTCAACTCTGTTAAGATTTGGAGCCAAGGAAGAGAAATTGCATGTTTAATCTATCAGTCCTGATGCACACAGACCTAGTATATACCTAGATAGTCAGCTGCATGAAAAGAATCAGTGAATCTTGTGGGCATTAGGCTTAATATTAGTGAGAAATGTGTCACAGCAACCTAAAAAAAAACCTAATGTGATTTTGTATTTGATTAAAAAAGATACAGCTTTAAAGATTGTTATTTAAAAGCTAAAGTGATACTGAACTTGTTTAAGAAAGGCATAATTTTAAGGAATATAACTTGGTAGAGAAGGGAATTCAGGAAATTGTTTAAATGAATGGGCATGGTTTTTTGACCCTAAAAAAAAAAACAGAAGACTCAGGGGCATAGATGGGTGTGTAAATGTATTCTTTCAAATGGAAGAGGTATTCAGTTTGTTCTATTTGTGTACAGAGTGCAGAATCCAGAGCAATGGACAGATGCTACAAAGAAACTAATTTAGTCATGATTGTGAAGTGAGGGGAAAAACAAAGAAAAAAATCCAAACAATAGATATTACCCAAAAGTAGAATGAGTTACCTCAGAAGAAATGGTGTTTACCCCTCATTGGGAGTTGCTAACCAGAGGGCAGATGACTAATTGTTGAGTATTCTATAGTATAGATACTTACCCCCAACCCAAGCATTGGATGAATCTAGTGGCTGCTAAGATCTCTTTCAAAACTGAAATGATTCACATAACCCACTGTGGTCTAACATATACATAGAATTTGCAGCCACCAAATTGTAAACTGAATTGGGTAAGAGTCCCACTTACCAAAAATATGTCCCTTCTTCTTTCCTTCTGGTCCCTCCCCTGCCTTTCGCTTCCCATATACTATATACAATGATGAAAGACCCTGCCCAGGCTTACCA